CCCAGAACAATGTTGATGCTACACAACTTCTTCCCTAGCAGCTCTGTCCATACACAACTACCCTTTTTTTTTTTTTGGAGTTACCCAACCCTAATTATCTCTTTGAGACGAGTTGGCTCCCTCCGGTATCCCCACGAGCTTCGACTCTTTGAGTCGGCTATGAGACTAATCCAGAGTGCAGGGAACAGTGATGGCTAAAGGTTCAGCCCCCACCCCAAGAATGCATTCAGCGGGAATCGAACACATATCCAACCCCACTAACTCAGCGCCAAATTACCAACTGAGCTGCACCCATTGGGTCACAACTACCCTTTCTACAACAAGGTGTCTCCGACTTTAGCAATAAAACTAATTAAAAAAAATTGTTAGGTGACTATATTGCATTAATGATATAGAATATAGAAATAACATGTAGTAGAAAATTATAAACACAAAGAATGGATAAGTACTTAACTCTATCTTAATCTTTTTGTTATGACGATTAACAGAACAATTAAAATCTTCATCATTGATGGCATCAAATTTTATAATCAACGGTGATAACAAAGTGGGGGAAACATCAGCAACATCGGCACTATCATATTTTTGACTCTCATCATTCTAGTAAGACATTAAAATTGTATAAAATCATGAAACGTTATACAAGTAACACATAAAACATTTAATTGATAAAATTTGATTTTAATTTAAAGATACCGCAACTCTTTTTGAATCTGTTGATACAACATTAATGTCGCAAGCATTATCAAATACTTCTTGATCCTAAAAATTAAAATATTTATAAAACTAAAACAAAGTACTAATATAATCAAATAATGTTTGAAAACGAAAACAACATACATTCGTGTCAACAACAGACTTAAGGTATGATGCGATAATAGTTTTGTTGTAGTAAACTTTACAAACTTGAAATTTTGGCTTCGTGTATAACTCAAAATTCTTCTTTTCCACGTTGACTTTAGATAACATGGATTTATCAGTAAGAACGTTAAGCTCTATAGGATAATGATTCAAATCACCACCCTGCATCTAAATGTTATACAAAGTTAATTTAATTAATTAATTTTTCTTAAAGGAACCACCTCAATGAACAAAAAATGCGGAGGAATTAGAATCAAACCCTTTTGAAATGTTGCTCGCGTAAATCAGCAGCACTCATTCCCAACAAAACAACATAGTCTATCGAATAGAAGAAAAGATGCAGAATCTATGTTATCCACAACCCTCACTTGAATACTGAATCTGCTAGATATTAACACTAGTTGTTTAGTTACGCATCACAAATGAATAAGTGAAATGCGCAGTACTTTGTCATTGAAACGTTAAGATTCAAAACACGTTTAGGACAACAACTTACTTTGGATGATAATCCTCCCAATGTTTATGGCAGTTCTTACAATACCATTTTTAGATATCAGAACAAATGGAATACATACATTTTTTACGGGACTTATACCACCAATTGTATTTCGATTCAATCGAATTTATGGTTACAAAAATAATGCACGTCGTAACCTGAAATACGAATAATAAAAACATAAGAACACAAAAAAAAAATCCAATAAAGATATGGGAAAGTATTCATTAGTTATGAAAATATACTTCCTTACAATTCTCAATATGAGGATTGGGTGGATAACTGAGTTAACCTCAAACTATTTTCCATCGAATCAGACGAAAGCCTAAAACGTAATTATATAACATAGAATATAATAAAGGCATACATGAAAATGAATGCTTTTGGAAAGACACATCCGGCTATATTAAATTGCATGTTCTCAAAAGTATATACGACACCTTTTTTTTGGAGTCCATAATCTCGGATACATTGGAATAAAAAAGAACTTGTGATATCTTTTGTATTTATTATTTTCATTTTACTTATACATTCAAAAAGTAAACACAGTAGTAAGACACAAAGAAAAAATACATTATAATAAAGAAATTGAACAATATATACTCAAACAAAAGCATAAAATGAGAAAGAACTATCAGTAAAAATATCCATGAAACCCTTTATCCTTGCAAGCCGGACTTTGATCACATTCCTAAGAGATTCATTATTTGCCAAAAAAAGTTTGTACTTGATTTTCATACTGCTCCCACAAAGTACACTCAAGCTCGTGTTCTCTATTTCGCAGTGGTTATAAGAAATTATGTTATATATTTAAACATATTTAACTAAAAATAAATATATATAAACGTACGATAAACATAAATATCTTAGGATAAACATAAATATCTTAGGTTGTCAAGCTCTAACACAACCATTTTTGTTTTTCTATCGGAAACAACATGCTCACGAACTTCCCCAATTCCTGACAGTAAACCAACGACGTCTACAAAACAAAGAGGTTGGACATATGATAATCTTAAAAACAAAACAAATAAGTGAGTAGTATCATAGACAAAATATATTACCTACTAAATAAGTACAATCAGGTGCTTCTTTCTCAATAATGTCAAAATCAACAAAATCGAATCCATTGGTAGGAAAGTAGCATCAATAATCAATTTAACATCCGTTCTCGAGTTGAAAGATAGATGATAATTATGCATACTTGGTCTAAAATTGTCACTATTTAAACAAACTCCAAAATTTCTGAAAATAGATATATACTTCATGAATTTTATTTCGAACTTGTAAAGAATCTTTACAATAGCATGGACCCTTCCACCTACAAACACACACATTAATAAAATAATGAAAACCAAATTATATCATTTCACAAAAGCTATACCAAATAAAAACCAAAAGTATTACATGTCCATCCAATATAACTATCTCCACATTGTCATCAAAATATTTTCGATACAAATTAGGAACCTTTCAAGTCTTAACCACCCAGACTATAATCCTCCACTTCCACTTGGTATGATTAAGATCCTTTATAAAATCATATTTGGAATATGCAATTAAGAAGAACAACTTGAGAAGACATATGAAATATGTGCACAAAAGACAATTATCAAACAAAAAAATACAGTAACACATCAAAGAATGGAGTAATTTTTGGCTATATTTTTGGATGGAGCAAAATAAAAAAAATGTCTCCTTTAAAAAAGGAAAAAGATAAACTAAATATGATGACTAATTAATCCCTTGATTAACGTCCCCCTCACTTCCCAATCATATTGGGTAATTTTCTTCTTCTTTTATCCAATCAATCCAATTGATTGGTTTCTCTAATTTTAACCAATCAATCTAATTAATTGATTTCCTAAATTTGAGTCAATCAATCTAATTAATTAATTTTCTGAATTTTCTCCATTGTCATCAAATATAATTTCATGACTTTATTTAAATTCAAAATTAGAATTTAAATTAATTTTATTAATTTAACATTTAAATTAATTAGGTTACACCGTTGCATCATGGATCAAGTCTCACTTGACCCATGACACATATAATTAATTCTTTTTTAAAAAAACTTGCTTAAGATGAAAAGTTTAGACTTTTTAAAAGAATCCAAATCATTATATGAATTACACATGACAAATTTTCTACTGAATGACTCTGAATTATAATATTATATAGATAAGGTCGGAGACAAATTGGAAAAAATGAAATAATATATCACATAAAAAAATTCATAAAAAGTAATAAATCACAAAATAATTGATGACTAATTAATCCCTTGATTAGCGTCCCCTCACTTCCCAATCATATTGGGTAATTTTCTTCTTCTTTTATCTAATCAATCCAATTGATTGGTTTCTCTAATTTTAACCAATCAATCTAATTAATTGATTTCCTGAATTTGAGTCAATCAATCTAATTAATTGATTTTCTTAATTTGAGTCAATCAATTTAATTAATTAATTTTCTGAATTTTCTCCATTGTCATCAAATCTAATTTCATTACTTTATTTAAATTCAAAATTAAAATTGAAATTAATTTTATTAATTTAACATTTAAATTAATTAGGCTACACCGTTGCATCATGGATCAAGTCTCACTTGACCCATGACACATATAATTAATTCTTTTTAAAAAAAACTGACTTAAGATGAAAAGTTTAGACATTTTAAAAGAATCCAAATCATTATATGAATTACACATGGCAAATTTTCTAGTGAATGACTCTGAATTATAATATTGTATAGATAAGGTTGGAGACAAATTGGAAAAAATGAAATAATATATCACATAAAAAAATTCATAAAAAGTAATAAATCACAAAATAATTGATGACTAATTAATCCCTTGATTAGCGTCTCCTCACTTCCCAATCATATTGGGTAATTTTCTTCTTCTTTTATCCAATCAATCCAATTGATTGGTTTCTCTAATTTTAACCAATCAATCTAATTAATTAATTTTCTTAATTTTCTCTATTGTCATCAAATCTAATTTCATGACTTTATTTAAATTCAAAATTAAAATTAAAATTAATTTTATTAATTTAACATTTAAATTAATTATGTTACACCGTTGCATCATGGATCAAGTCTCACTTGACCCATGACACATATAATTAATTCTTTTTTTTAAAAAAAACTTGCTTAAGATGAAAACTTTAAACTTTTTAAAAGAATCCAAATCATTATATGAATTACACATAACAAATTTTCTACTGAATGACTCTGAATCATAATATTGTATAGATAAGTTTGGAGACAAATTGGAAAAAATGAAATAATATATCACATAAAAAAATTCGTAAAAAGTAATAAATCACAAAATATAAAAATATTAGTGAAAATAATCCCATAAAATATTCTAAAATACGGTAAATAATATTAAATCATAATTTTAATATTACACGATATCATTTCAATATTTGATGAGTATCATCAAAATATCACAACTGTTAACTATTAGAAATCGAGCAACAATATCAATTTTACAATTTGATGGGTATCTTCGTTTAAAAAATTTGGTTGATAAAATCACATAATTAGCAAAAATATATATATATTTTTTTATAATTGGAAAGGGGAAGACCTGCTGAGAGATACGAAGAAAGAAAGAAAAAGAAGAAACAAAAGAGGGAAGAAGAGGAAGCAACGATACTATTAGCAGCGATCGAGCTACAAAGTGCGAAGCTCAATATAAAATCGCCAACAACAAGAAGAAAAAAAAATATTAAATTAAAAGAAAGAGAGAGAGAAAGAGAGAAAGAGAAAGAGAGAGAGAGAGAGAGGCAAAGACGAAGCTTGGAAGATTGAAACCCAGTTAGTGAGGTTCGAGATTTGTATGTAATTCCTGAACTTTGCGAAGGTAAGAGTTCAATCAATGTATAAGACCCTTTTGTTTTTCATTTACGCACTTGCTTCCTTCAGTTTTTGTTCTTCATTGTGCTTCCTTCAATTGCAATTTGAATTTCTTTTTTATTTTTTATTTTTCGTTTGGTTTTGGTTCCTTTTTTTTTTTTTAATTTTATTTTATTTTTTTCTCGTAATACAGTTTTCCCCAACTCACTGATCTCTACCCCTCTACTTCAAATTCCGAAATTTGAAGTTCGAAGCTTTGGAATTTGGTGAAACAATGAGGGTTTAAATTGGTGCAGTGATGTAATGTTCGCTTCGTGCTGTTCGACACAACAACCATGGTGTTTCGGACCCGGGTTTGGTGATTCAAACTTAGGGTTTTGATTTGCCATTCAATTCAATGAGTTAGTGGGTTCCGTTGCGGTTTGATCTCTAGGGTTTTGTCGTCGGGAAGATGAGATTTGTCTTTGCATTTTGTGGTCTGTTTGTTGGTGAATTTGGGCTTTTTTAGGCACAAGGGTAACCGGATTTCGCTTCAGAATTGCAGGTTTCTCTCTGGGTTACTGTTATTAGTATGATTCAAGCATCTGTTTGTTCAGATATGCGCTGCTTGTAGCTAATTGATTTGTATTCACTGATATGGGGGAGGGGGAATTTGGTGTTCTTTGGAAACAAAAACAACTGCAATTTGGCTCAAATTGAGGTTGCAGGTGGGTGGGTTATTTTCTGATTTGTTGGGTGTTGTATGAATCTGTCTTGTGAGAAATGCAACCCCAGCAGAGCTCGAGAATTGATTTGGGTGAATTAAGAGTTCAAATTATAAAGAGGATTGGAGCCGATAAGTCGAAGCGGTACTTTAATTACTTGAACAGGTTTCTGAGCCAGAAGCTGAGCAAGACTGAATTTGATAAGTTGTGTCTTCGAGTACTTGGGAGGGAGAATCTTCCACTACACAACCATTTTATAAAGTCAATTTTGAAGAATGCCTGCCAAGCCAAGACCCCACCACCAATCCAGTCATCAGGTACCCCAAAGTCCAGAGCACATGCTACAGACATATCTCCTGGTAGAGAAGATGGGCACGAACAGAGTCCTTCCAGCTTCCAAAATCAAAATCAAAATGCACACATTTGGTCAAATGGGGCTTTGCCAGTATCCCCACGTAAGGTTAGGTCTGGAATACGCGATCGGAAGCTGAGAGATAGACCAAGCCCCCTTGGACCAAATGGGAAGGTCAATTCTGTTTCTCACCAATTCATGGGGACAGAAGACAGTGGTAGTAAAGTTGATATGGAGAATGGAGTTCTTACTCCATGTGATTATCAGAGACCAATACAGCATCTTGAAGCCGTTGCTGAGCTACCTGAGAATGAAAGGGCGGACTCTGTTCAGCGACCTGTAGAAAAACCAAGAATACATGGCAAAGGGCTGGCTGAAATGTCAATTGTTAAAGATGGGGAAGAGGTGGATCAGTTAAACCGCCTGAGTTTCTCCAGAAGTCCCTTGATTGCACCACTTGGTATTCCTTACTGCTCAGCAAGTGTAGGTGGGGCCCGCAAAGCATTGCCAGTGGGTAGCACTGGTGATTTTGATAGTTGCTGTGGCAGTGGTAGCTTGTCCGATATAGAGACTCTGCGAAGGCGCATGGAGCAGATTGCCACAGTACAGGGTCTTGGAGATGTTTCTATGGAATGTGCCAATATCTTGAATAATACGTTGGATGTGTACTTGAAACGGTTGATCAGGTCTTGTGTTGAATTAGTTGGAGCTAGGTCTACAAATGACCCGAGGCGGCCCCCTGTCCCCAAACAGCAGATTCAGGGTAAGTTAATCAATGGCATGTGGCCAAGTAATCATTTACACATGCAGAGTGCTGGTGGGCTGGCAGAACCTGTGCCTGAACACAGATCACCACACTCAGTTTCTTTGCATGATTTTAAAGTTGCCATGGAGCTAAATCCTCAGCAACTTGGAGACGATTGGCCACTGCTGTTGGAGAAAATATCTATGCAATCGTTTGAGGAATAACACATTTATGAAGATTTGTCTTATGTAAAAGCTCTTCCGGTTCTGATGGATCAGCAATGGTTGGTGATCATCAGACACTCAGTTCTGTTCTTTGTGCCAGTATGAACCAGATGGCTCCAAATGGATGCTTCCTTCCCTTTCAGGATGAAATACTGGTTGAGCTTCAGTTTTTCGTATCTCTGGACTCTCTGCTATTTTGTAGGGCTTGGATGGATCGGAAATTTATTTACCTGCAACCAAGGGTACTATCAAATCAAACCCAGGATTGGTTGCACTGTTGTATGTTCTTAGCATTGATGTTGGCTGTATTTGCCATTTCTAGAGATCTCAAGGCTTTTGTTTGCTTTACGGCCAATGAAAAGACAACTAAGAAAGTTTTGCAGGGATACTGTTGTGTAGCTGGGATCAAGGAACTATGACATGTATAAGAGCTACAGGGTCGCTCTGTATGTATTTTTAGAATCTGAGGATTGATTGAAATTCAATATCAATAACACATTAACATCTATTGAAATTTCCCAGATGATTTCAGTTTAATGGTTGAATTCCCTGATTCCAAATTTCACCAATACCCAAAGTAGTGTTTTTGTATTCTAGTCCTTTTGTGTAGATTTGTAACTTACACTGCTCTTTTAGTGCAACTTAATTTGGTGACTGTAATTGTTATTTCTAATAAAATTTGGGTCTTATAAATTTTGACATATATCTATTTCCTCAATTTTATGTGGAGTCGTTTTTTTTATGCTTATTGAGATATCTTATCCGCTTGATGTTTCATTAATCTTATTACCTCTGTTTTAGTCTGCCAATGAAAAGGAGACATAATTCATCCTTGTATTAGTTAATCATTGACCATCTTGATGTATTTGTTTAAAATTTGACTGATAAAAGTTGCTTGCACTTTTTTATGTAATAGTGTATTATTATATTCATTGTGGCATATGGGATATGATCTCTAATCAGAAATCTTTTGGAATTAAAAGCAGAGTAAGCCTACAGTGCATGAAAATTCTTCAGAAAAATTGAAGGGAATAATAGGTGTCTACATTCAATTCTCTCAAATGATTGGAACATTTTCTACTCATATATGTAAATGACGCTGACACTCATGTAATGAAAAATGGTGGTATGCTAAACAACAGTATTGCTGAGAATCTGATGAACCAGTTACTTGGGCAAAGTCAGGCAGATTGGAGGAAGTTACTTGCAAATGGGTTGTTGCATGTAGTTCATGCATGCATTGGGGGAAAGAGAAAAAAGAATCATGATCTTGCCATTTGTCTTGTTTTTATACTATTTTTTACAACAAGCAACTGATGCAATTTACACAATATATGAAGATAATTTTATAAATTCGTAAAATATGTACAGATTTACTGGTTAGTGAAAAAAAAAATGTTTAGTTGCAGCTTGCAAATGCCATATTAACGTGGTCTATTGATATGAATTTTCAAATGGACCCTACATTTAACCATTTAGAAATGTTTATATACTATTGATCACCAAAAGTAACATTTGTTTTTTGTAGCTTTGTGTGCACCCGATAACGTCACTCTACTAATAATGTTGAAAATTACCTGGATCTTTCGGTGTGGTCATTGTTTTGCATTAGGTTCCAATTGTTGTTCGTACATTTTTAACTGATGTTTCCTTTGTTCTTGCATTGAACACGTTATAAATGGGTGGCAAATTGCTTATTTTAATTGGAGTTTTATTTCGTCTGTCTTTTACCATAATTATAAATGCTGAGCTTCATGTGTAATTTACCAGTGTCAGTGATCCATATTAAATATCAGAAGCTAGACTGTTGTGTCGTTTGGTGCGAAATATGCAACCAATATCAGGCTAAATTATGGAGATTGATTTGATCTCAATGCTAATGAGTAATGACCATTGAAGTTTCCTTGTTTATTACTACTCTTTGAATATTTGGAAATTTATTATTCTATTCTATCCTCGTGGTTGTCACTCAGATGCCTCGTTTTTATAATGTACAACTTAAGACATTGTCTGGGCCAAAATGATATTGTGAAACATGCATTCATTTTATCTACTGACTCGGTCTATTTATTGTTTAGAATATTGAGATTCAATTTTATTTGTATTGCTCCTTATAACTTAAAACGGCCATGCGTGATCTGAGTTGCTGAACTGTTGTACCTGGCATCATCTTGTAAATCTTCTGCAGGTGCAACTAAGTTTTGGAGTTTCTCAAAGATTCAGGTAATGAGTAGAAGTGTTGAAGGCACTCTCCAGGTGCATCCCATTTGTTGTCAAGGGAGTACTTACATAATGCACAGTACTGTCAGATTTGGTGAAATTAAGAATGAACAGGCTGAAGAGGGGTAAGAGGGAATCCATAATGCTTTTGATTGTATTCCTCTCTGATCTTATATTTTGGTTGTGCAATTGTTTATCTGCAGAAACTTGGAGAAACTTGACTGTGTCTAAAAAATTATGAACAGAAAGTACAGTTAATATTTTATTTTAATTTTTTTTCCCACATGGTCATCCAATGATTTGGAATTTATTTCTTTTAGAACTGCTATCTGTTTATCAACTTCTTTCCAATGGAAAAAAATGGGATATGTATGCTCGAGTTTTGTTCTAATTCAGAGTGATATATTTATTTTTTACATTGTTATTTAATCATAGAAGATTGAATTAGTCCATAGCCAGGTGAGGGGTAAAATTTTAAGGTTCTTCTACATAGCCAGTAAGAATTATGTCATGATGAAACGGAAAAGCAAGATGGATAACATGTAAGGCATTAGAAGTTCTCAAAAATGCTAAGATGAATATCCTCCATGTTAGGTATGCTATAAAAGATTTGTATACAGTGTTCTGGAATGAACTTAAGAGAGTACAAACATACCTTACTCTGATCATCAAAGAACTAGAAAATGAAAAACCCGAGTAACTAAATTACCTAATTCTTATGCAGTCTACAGCATCATTGGCACCCAGTTATTGAATAAGTAGTGGGTTTTGTATTCCTTCTTATAACTAAATTTCCTTCTTATTAAATTACCGAATTTTTTTTATTTTATTTTATTTTATTTATTTATTTATTTTAATCTCCTCTTATTTATTATTGGATTACCGACTCCAATTAACTTTATTAGAGCTAAAGGTGGTGTTGATGTTCAACCTCTACTCTTTCAACACCCAAAATTGAAAAGGTATTTTTGCCTTTATGTACAAACTTTTCTCCGTTTTTTTCTTAAAAAGGAAAGCATGCCACTACAGCCTTTGTGATGCACGTGAAAATAATGGTTCAAAACATAAAATTTCTTTTATAGTGGAACATTTTAACATCATGTGAACACGTATGTTAAAGACATCAAATGGATGCGTTCCACTTCTCATGACCTTCATCCCTTTGTTAATACAAAATGAGAATGGACGTAGGCTATAGTGCTTTCACTCATGAGCTTTTTTGGAATTATTTCCGAAAACATAAAAGATTAAGCCGCAAAGTGATGAAGTCATAGACATGTGCATCACGTTCTTCAACGTTGAAGGCAACCCGGGGCTATGAATAATTTGGGTACGTTTCAAACCTCATTTTCTTTGTGAGCAGCACAATATGTTGTAAACTAATTTCTGCAGTGACTATTTTATCTGTATTTATTTTTAAAACAACGTCGTTCTTGTATTGAAATTTTAAAAAATTATAAATATAAAGACTATTATAACCTGAAATAAATTAAAATTACAAAAACACCATAATTTTCGTCCAAAATGATGTCGTATTAGGCTTACTGGAGATTACTTATCTGCAGTAACCGCAAAAGTGAATTCTTTTTAAATATACATATATTTTTTCAAAAAAGGAAAGATTTCGGGATTTGTATTTTCTTTTTGTCCTTTCAAATGATATAATTTGCGTTATTTTACTCTCACAAAGAGGTGAGACCCACATCTTTATTTTTTTTTTTGTCCACTCTCTTTCTTTCATGATTTATCTTTTTTTCTCTCACTTAAAATGACACAATTTTACATCCTTTAAAATGACACACAATTTTCTATTTTTAAAAAAATATGGATTAAAATTTAAGAAAATTTTCTCCTTTTTAAAAAAAGATATACTCACTTGCATATATTTGATGCACAGAAGAAAATTTCGCTCCCCCAGCCCCATTAGTGAGACCATACGCTGCCAAGTGGTATAGCCTGTTCACTCTCATAAGATTGCCCAACGACATTTGAGGATGATACTATGTAACATGATATTGGTTTTTCGTCCCAAATTTCATTTTTATCGCCCTCTAATTATCAGTTAGCATCATAAATAATAATTAAGATAGTAAATAATACAATTATTATTATTATTATTATTTTGAAATTTTTACTAAATTTGTTAACTCAAAAATAATAATTAATGCTATAAATAATTTTCTTTTTCTTTTCTTTATAAGATTGTTTTTTAAATTCAAATACATTACAATTATTATTAAAATGATAGTTCGGTGATTAGTTTCTCATTTTGTTCCCTTTTCACTTGAAGAATTCATATTTTTTATATCATTTAAGTTGGTGGGTGAGATATCATGCAAAGTCCATAGTTACTTAAATATTAGTGTTTTTCGTAAAATTTTATTATTTTGTGTTATGATTTTTTTCAAAATATCGAAATTTGAGACATTTATGTTTTAATAGAAGAAAAATTTGATCACTCCTCACATTTTATTAAACATTTAAATTTTTTGAGCAAACATGAAAAAAATAAAAAAATTTATCAAATTATTATTATTGAGAATAAATTTTATTTTTAAATTTACAGGAATTCCAAATATAATTACACAAATGAAAATTATTTACTGTATTAATTATTGTTTGAATAAAGTGATTTACTGCTAATTTATAAGATAATAATATTGACTATTTATGATATTAATTATTAAGATATTTATTTCAAAAAAATTGAATTCTTCACACGAAAAATATCAGTCATCAAATTATTATTGTTGATAATAACTTTTTTATTTTAAAATTTAAAGACATTATAAAAAAAAGTGTCAGACAAATAAGACTTTTTTATAATATTAATTATTGTTCAATTAAATGAATTTAATAATATTTTTAAATAATAATAATTGTATTTCGTATTATTTCAATTATTAAATACAAATTATTAAGATCTTCATTTCCAAATATTTCTTGGAAAGAAAAGGAAAAGAGAAAGAAATATCAATCATATATATTCAAGAAAAATTAATTATTAAACTATCATTATTTTAATAAATTTAATATTTTAAAGTTACATAATTTTGAAAATATCATGTTTGATGAATAATAATTATTTAAGATATTAATATTATTTGACTAAACGAATTTAATGTCAATTTTCATAATAATAATAAAGGGAAGGATCCGTTTACAAATTATTTTTCAAATTTTTACATATTACATTATGTACTTCCGGAAATATATAGTGTAATCTAGTATACTTTCGGGAGTACATATTGTAGTTTATAAGAGTTTCTAAACAAAAAGTTTGTAAATATAATCCTTCCCTACTAATAATTGTGTAACTTACTATTATAATTATTTTTATTAGTATTTGAAATTTTGAGTAAACACTTAGTGTGAAAAATAGAAGACAATTTCAATCTTATAACTAAAAAATGAGTATTTTTATTTTTCACATTATATATTTTTATGATGTATAAAATGATTTTCATTTAAAAAAATTCATTTTCTCACTTTAAAATTACTGAAACGATGATTTTTTGCTTCTTTGCTTTGGAGCTTGTCACTTTTTATGGATCCTAATTTACTACTGCTTTTTACAAATTTTCACAATTTTTATTTGGGGATTATTGCATGTATTCCTTTTAGGAAAATGTCCGTTGATTCAACCTCCTACATGACAGAAAAATTTACTCCAATGAACATTAGATATACCTTGTCAAATCCTGAAACTAGTTTAAAATGTCATAAAACGTAACAAGAAGTCAAAATAAACAAATAAAAAAATAGTTCAAAATTAGGTTTTGTTTAGTAATTCTTTTCTTATGTTATATAGAAAAAATATTATCTCCAACCCAAATAATAAATATGAGAGAGAAAATAGTTAAAAAGATGAAAGAAAAAAATTCTTGTAAAACCCATTTAAAAAATGTGAATGTAAAAGAGAGATAATACTTTTCTTATGTAACATAAAAAAAAATATTACCCTAAATATATCTATATAAATATAAAAGATTGTGATTATTTAAATTCAAAAAACATGACTTACTTATTGACCGATGAGAGTTTCTTACATCTTATCCAAGAGCCACTCTTAAATCTAGATTAAGAAGAGAAACAGAAAAAATAAAGAGTCTAAAACATCCGGAATATAATTTTTAAGGACTAGTTTTCTCTCAAAATTAGTTCACATAAGAACTAGCTTTATAAAATTTAAGGGATAACTAAACCTAAATCTAAAACCTCATAATAAACGTTATAATACAAATAGAGAGAAAAAAAAAAAAAAAGCAACTTCATTGCCTTCCTTTTACTTCTCCTTCCAAATCCTCCTTAAGGCATCTTATGTAAGAATTAAAAAAGAGAACGCAAGAAGGAAGGAAGGACATCTAGATAATGTGTAAGAAGAATATTGCACCCGCAGCTTAAGAAGAAATTTAAGTCTATCAAGCCTGTGGCTTGTGTTATTAGATAATGTGGATGAAGATATTGGCTATGTACAAATGACCAATAAGAAGAGGTGAGGAGGAGCAACTGTATTTTGTACAAAAGTGATCCAAAATAATAAAAAAAGAGAGAAAGAGGGGATAGAAAGAAATCTGTCTCCCTCGTCTGGTTTAACAATGTAATTAATGAGATGAGGATGAATTTGACGGTGCCACTGATGCTTTGCAAATAGGGCACCAGTTTTTTAGCCGTAGCCATTGTTGTATGCAAACCACATGATACATATGTTCGCATTGCAGACTCCCCACTTCATCTGTGGCCACATATTCCTCCTACAATTCAAGTCAATTTATCTTAAAATCATATCTTGTAACAATAAGTGTGTATCAGTCTGAGAGGCAGTGACTAATTCAAGAACCTTTTTATTTGTGCAAAGGATGGAAACATGTAGTCTTAAATGCCTATACAATGCAAGGTATACTAGTTTCAGTTATATACTGAAATGGGGCATGCTAACAGACACTTAATTTGTGCGTCAACTGAATCCTATGGGACGCAGGTAGATTGTCACGGACAATAAGGGCCCGCTTGGATGGGCTTTTGAAAAAAGAAACTTTTTATGAGTTGCTTTTTTCAAAAGAACTTTTTTTAAAAGTTAAAAGTTATTTTGTGTTTGGATGTAATATTTGAAAAATACTTTTAAGTAAACATATCATTTGGATGTTAAAATAAAAAAGTACTTCTTCAATATAAAATTACTGTTATGACCTTCTTTTGTTCTTTTTTTTTTTTTTTACCATTTTCTCTTTTTCATCTTGCTATATCGTGATTCTTTTTCATCCTATATCTGGTTCTGGTTTCTATTTCTTTTTCATGCTTCAATTTTTCTGGTGGAATTTAAGAATCTCGCCACATGTTTCTTTTTTAGGATGTGAGATTCATAGTTACTCATGGTTTCTTTTTCAATGTTATTTGATAAATTCTGCTCAACTTTGAACTCCAAACCCCAACAGGCTAAAAGTTTTATTGATCAAAATCACCCTCTTGTGGATGCATGTGAACTGCCATTGATGGACCTTAATGGTCTAGGGAAAGTTCAAATGAAATTGAAAGACTAGCAATATGCAGGGCAACATCAGATTGGGGATTACCCTTTTCAATTTTCAATACTTAGCGACTTCTTCGTATATATCTCTCCCTCGAGTCTCGCCAAAAACTCAACCATGGTATACCTCTCTTCTCTTTCATCGATTGAAGCCATCTCAGATCTCTCTCTTTTTTATCCTCAACCTTGGAGGTTTGCTGCTCCGGCTGAGACGGAATACTCGAAGGGAGAGATGGGTCAAATTTTAGCTTTTTGCTTCTCCTTCTTTTAAAAGCTAAAAAATTTAGCTTTTCAGAAAAGCAAGATTTCTCCTTTTTTGTTGGCTTCTGCTTTTATTGAAAGCACTCATCCAAACATAAGTTTTTCTTCTAAAAGCACTTAATTTTTAAAAAAAAGCAGCTTCTAGGGGAGGAGAAGTCAATCCAAACAAGCACTAAGCCTTTGAGCCATGATGGTGTTCAATGACACCCCGGTTGCCATGAAAAAGTAAAATGATGCAAAAATCTTCATTTGGTGTGGAAAAAATACCTGGCAGATGCTGCATTTGGTATCATCGTTATCCTCATTGCAACTCTCAGCTGCATGGTCTGAGGGTGAGGATTGATAGAAACTTCTCTTTAGACATTCTGAAAGTGTTTCCTCTGTTAGAGCTGTGCTCACAGTACCCATCCTCTCTTCCAGAGCAAGTAGTTCCTGTCATTTTTAGAATACTTTGGGAGGTGAAAATAGCTAAAACTAAAAAAATCATACTTTTTTTATCCCAAAATAAATGCATGTAATATCAAGGATAATGATCCCTTTTCAAAGCAATCTCCCTCAACTCAGCTAAATTTCAAACCTCTTCTTTAGAAGTTGAAGATATTACGTACTGCCACTAAACAGCACTTAAAATTTGGTTATAAGCCTCACAATGCTTTAATCACATGCATTCTTATGAATATTTTCATCTAAATCTGTTGTAATCACAAAATTCTCAAACCATTGTAAATATTTTAAGAAAAAGAATAGGAAATTAAGAAAACAAATATAACAAACTGAATTGTAGCACCTTTTGACGTTAACAAACCTCATATGACATGTTATCAATGTCCAATCGCATGTCTCTGTGCTGATCATAGAAGTTTAGTCCAGTAAGGAACAAGTTCGACTCCAGTAAAAGAATTTGCTGCAAATGCACAAAATGAATGCATCAGATAACTGGTATATTAAGGCAAATGAATTTTTAATCAAGAATTACCTCATGTGTTAGCTCAACATCTTGTTCAATCCTCTCAAGTGCCAACAATACCTAAAAACAATTACAAAATAGTAATTTAGTTGTGAACTCTCATATCAAAGACCATGATAATTTTTTTTTTGCAATTCTCATGTTTACAATGAAAATTACCTCTGTAATACCATCCATGTTGTAGCGACGTCGAAAGCTATCCCGATTTATTAGAGAATGAGTGATGCCATAGTCTGCAGGAGACACAGGCATAACACCATATAACTCCTCACTGCCGGTACCTGCTCTACTATAAGAGCTCAGACGACTTAAAGGAGTCTCTACAGATGTATGATGTGATACACCAGGAGCATGAAGATCACTAGAATGAGGCAAAGAAGGTATCATGACAAAAGACTCATTGGGTGCCACATGATTAGCATTTCCTTGGCTAGAAAGCCTTCCCCTGGCATTACCACTTATTGGTCTTCGTGTCCTAACCGACGCTACGTTGCTGTCTGGCCTGTCCCTGTGAGGAGGAGTATTTCTAGATATTCTTGAATCAGAGATAGATATGCCATTTCTGGAACCAGAATTCCGTCCTTCTAATGAAGACCCACTCATCTTTTTCCCTCTAGCAGTGGAACTACTTTCCCCTTCACAATTTCTCTTTTTTATCATATCCTTCCTTTTGTTAAGGGTTGAATCTGATGGTAAACAATCAGCAGGGATGACATCAGAAATAGAGTTGCATCTGAGGTTCCTTAACCCATACTTACTGGCACCTGCACGTGTCACTGGACCAGTGTTTTTAATTTCTTGACCACGTAATCCAGGCTTCGAATGAAAATTCCTCCGAGATCTTGTATTAGATACTACACTAGAGCTCCCTACTTCCATCAGCATGACATTACTAGACTCTGCATTTTCCACTTCAGCTTGAAGTCCCCCTCTCTGAGTTTTATCAGGTGGAGGGACAAGCTTTGAAACTTCTGGTTCATCTTGTACACTACTAGATTCAGATGAATCAGTCTCTACCCGAGACGATATTGTTTTCCGGGGCTTTATAAGGGGTTTTCCTGGGTTACTAGCCCCAGAGAAAGTTCTAGAGGAGCTTCCAATTGCTTCCTTGCCACTTGAAGAGGATCGGATTGAAGGCCTCAAAGATTTACCTTTTTCAGAAGAACCAATTTGAGCACCTTTAGGAGAGTTGACTCTGCTACTGCAACCAAGGCGACTGCACACTTGACCATTTCGATCTCTAGTATTAGCGGTATCTCTAAACACATGGCCCATCCCCTTTTTAGGAACTACCACCCCATCAATGGCTCTTTTACCAGAATATTCATCCATCAATAGCTTATTCCCTTCAAATCTGTAACACATTGGCATGATGTATTAGAAGATCCGAAACTCATATAAGATACATGATTGTCAAAAGCATAATATAGATTGTATGAGACAATAATTTTACATGTTTCTTGATAGCAATGGATTATATGCAGAACTTAAGCTGCAACATAAAGACTGGCTAGACATAGAGGCTCCACTCATAATACATAAATTTAGGTTTGGAGAAGTTTCACATTTAATAAATCTAGAATCCGTCACAAAATTATCATGTACCATAGCTAAATTTCTTCAGAACAGTACCTTCTTTATAATCTCCGGTAATTAATTTTATGCATTGAAACGAAATAAAGTTAAAACATATATGTATTTTCTTAACAATAGGAGTTATACAAAATATATCACATTTTGGATTCTCTTAAAGAGGAGCTTCAGATGAATTTGAACAAAACTCTTACAGCAAGCACATACAATGGCTGGAATTCAAGTGAAAGAGGACAAAAAGAAATATATTTGGCATTATAAGATAAAATAGAGGTCATAGGACAAAATTCATTGTTAACATGCTCATGTTGTGTGTCAGGGAGGCAAAAGCATTCTATCTCAGTAAGCATTTAGAAATCCCTTTGACTAGAAAATCCAATCAAAGGGAAAATTTATTGCAACATTGACCAAGAAGTCAATTCGTAAGTCTCATGCCAATTCCATCTTTTGAGGGAATTATTTCTCAGCATAGTATTATTGATCCCTTTGAGCAAGATGAGTTAATTACTTAGGTTTTGCGTGCTCAATTAAATACATACCAAGGGAATTTGAACTGCACCAAAGCAGGTGTATTAAATCATAATTATATCAAAAGTTAGAAAATATCCAACTTTGAAAAGTATTTCTGATGTAAAAAATGAGAAATGCTGAGAAGAGAGAAAACATATACTCAAACTTTCAAATAGTCAAATTCACAAGATAAATAAAGAAGAAGAAAAAAATCTAATCTCATAAGGTCAGAATTTCAAGAAAATCAGCAAATAGAGAAGCGTTCACTCAACAGTCAATGTAAACGTATGATATTGAATCTTCCAATATTTGCATAACAATCTAGAATAAAGTCTCTTTGATACACGCCGTGAAACCAACAGGGCTCTATCATATCCCTACAAGGATGATGCTCCTTGAATTTATTTACATTACATACAACCTGGAACACAAAATCTTCAGCCAAAACAATCCAAATAGGAAGTGAAAAAAGAAAAAAAGAAGAAAAAACGATACATGATCAGATGATGACGAACGCCAACCGCCAGAAACCACGATCATATCACGCAAACAATAAAAGCAACATTTTTATGACGTAAACAGAGAAACCAATTTCCTCAAAATCAATATATTCTGAAGAACAAAAAAACTTGGCAAAACAAACAACATAGTGTTGTTTTTTAGAGTGAAATAATAACAAGTAAATGTGAAAGAAAGAAAGAAAGAAGAAAAAGAAGACTAGATGGGGCGCAATGAATGGATGATTGATTACAGAAAAAAGTGGGGGGTCCCTTCTTTTCCATCAAATATTCTCCACACAATCACAAAGACTTCTTCTCCGTGATTTCAGCTCTGAAAATAAGCTCAACACTAACCATACCTTACTCATCCCAAACCCCAAACAAACAACCCAAATAAACCAAAATAGAAATCACAATACCTCCACGTATTCCTCACACAACCAAAAGCTTCCGTCGATTAATTTCAACTTGAACGAACCCAAAATTTATTTATTTTTATAAAAAATATATTAAAATTCAATCGGATTAAAGTTCATAAAATATATATTATTTATTAATTTTATTTTTTTATCAAAGAGAACGAGAGATAGACGAGGACCAACGTCGACAAAACTGATAAATAAATAAAAAATAATAATAATCATCCAATTTTACAATTAAGTTTGATAAGGAAGAAAAAAAATTGTGGTGGAGTTGGAATTTGAATAGCTCGAGTTCAGCAGAGAAATTTGAATTGGGTAGCTACCTTTTTCGCTGTTGTGGTTCTTCTCCGTTGGAAACTTGGAACAGAGGAGAGAGAGAGAGAGAGAGAGAGAGAGAGAGAGAAGAGGTTTTAGTTTTAGTTTTAGAAAGAGAGAGAAGAGAGAAGCAAAGTGCAATTTTCATATACGAGGAAGGTGTTCTAATAAGAAGCCCACTATGGTTAGAAGCGGAACCAAATATGCAACCCAAACAAAAAACGACAAGGCTTGTTGGGCGCCGTCCTATTCAGAAATGTGAAAAAATGGACGGCTTGGATTGAGTGTGATTATGTCACACTCAAAGATCCTTATTATGAGTAAGAGTAACTAATGTGAGGCTTATTTTTTGTTGGCACACGAAAGCAATGGCAAATCGCTCTGAATCAATGAACCAATGAATTTGGTAGCTTTTATCTCAACTGCCTAATGTCCCCATTTATTCGTTTTTCTAAATAAAAAAAATTACTGAGTTAGGTTATTTTTATAATCTTTTACAATTTTTTGTTATTATTTAATTTAATTTAATTACCTATTTTTATTTAATATTATTTTATAGCCATTAATTTTTTTAATTCAATAATAAAAAATAATTATAAAAAATTATAAGAAAATATATTGTAAATATAATCTTTCTAAAAAAATAATTAATGCTTAGTGCAAAAGTTTTATATCTTATTCTTACGTGACTTGTTATATTTCTTTAAACCAATGTTATTAAATTCGATTACTGGTTCAACCGCATGAACCAGATATATATATATATATATATATATATATATATTATACTTAATTATATAATAAATATTTTAAATGGTACAAGTGAACTAAGAACCAAATGTAGTTTAGTTGTAAATATTACAATTCATATCTTAACAACAAGGGTTCGATCCCCACTAGTAAATGATATGATATATATATATATATATATATATATGGGAAGGGATACTGTGACAACCAAGTTATGTTACTACAAAGTGACTACCAATTAATCTCAACGTTAGATCGATTATGTTGATCCAACGGTTATATTTATTTTCATCTTTGTAAGGTTATGATGTCCCATATTTAAAGTGAAAGCATTAAATATGAGAAATCATAATCCTACAAAGGTGGAAATAAATATAAAATATTAGATTTGGAAAATCATGACCATACAAAGATAGAAATAAATATAACTGTTAGATCAACATAATCGATCTAACGGTGAGATTAATTGGTAGTTACTTGGTAGTAACACAACTTGGTTGTCACAATATCCTTCCCATATATATATATATATATATATATATATATATATATATGGGAAAAATATCTATCCTTTTAAAGGATATAAGCCCATATCCTTTTAGATTGAATCAATTAATATAAGAAAATAAATAAATAAAACGACGTAGTTTGGGATAGCCGGAAATAAACTTATCTAAAGCTGCTTGAGAAATATTTTTCCATATATATATATGGTGCATATTAACCAGCAAACAAACTCAACTCAGTGGTAAGTTGTTGTTGGGCATACTCATGATACTCGAGTTTGAATCCCAATAACTGCAACTTCGAAATTATTTTTCCAAAACCGGTTTGAGTAATAAAACTGGTCCACCGGTTCGGCGGTTAATACCGGTTGAACCGCGGTTCACGACCGGTTCACCGGGTCAATAGCGGGTCAATAACATATCTGATCCGTTGCAAGAATCGGACCGATTGATGGGCCAGTTTCCGGGCCGGGCCGATTTTCTCAACATTGCTTTAAACCCTAAAAAGATATCCAAATATGGCATTTAGCTTTTATGTATCGAATGGTGTATCGGAAAGGAATTTGTATCAAACGATACGGCACTATATCATAAGAAACGTGTATAATATGATATGAAAATTCAATCACATTTTTTAATATATAAAAAAACAAAAATTTGATTTGTGATTTAAATTAAAAAATCTAAAAAAATTATTATTAATAAGGAAAAGAAATAAAGATATGAAAAATCCGTATTAATAAAGGAAACAATAAAGCCGACATGAATGATAAAAGTAGCGGCATTATCCTACAAGAACAAGATAATGTCAGGAGGCTTGATAAATGAAATGATATCGACCTCAGATTGTTGAACAAGAAATGAGAGGTGAGTCAAATGACTACCTAACGAAGAGATGATGAATTAGTTATGTCATTGATAGATGTTGATAGTGATAGTAGTGATAAAATTAATCTTAATGATTGTTGAATAGGAAAATAATTGATTTTCATTTAGTTACTTATGTATTTTGTTTATTGGATCCTTTTTGGAATTTGGATTTATATGATATTAATTATATTATATATTTTTAAATTATTTTGTGTTATATTTCTATATCTTACGATTCGATGTTATTCACGATATAAAAAATCGGTCAAATGGTACATGATATGTATTACGATTCAACAACGATATATATCATGTACCAACCCCACTATATTATGATTGGATAAAATTAGGAAATTACTCAATGAGATTGAGAGATGATTATGGCGCTAATTTGACCTAGCTATTAGGTTGATTAGCTGCCACATATATAGCCCCCTTGTTCCTTATTTATGGAAGAACACCTCTCTTATTTTATCCACTGAAAACCCTAGTCAAAACACATACATGTGTGGAGGCATTTTTCTATCTCTCTTGGAGTCACCATAGGCGCCACTCTCCCTTGCCCCTTCTCTTCAGTTTAACAACCTCTTGAAGAACTTGAAGGATCTTAGGTGTTGAAGAATCATTCTTCTCCTACAAGACAACAAAGTGTTGTGAACTTCCATCGAACGACTTGTGTTTTTCAAGTCTCAAGTGGTGATCAAGAACGCATTTGATCAGGAGTTTTAATCCGAACAAAGGTATCATCTTTAATTCCTAACATGTCTATTGCATGTATCTTGGGTAGAACATGTGTTAGGGTGGACAAAAATTGTCTCTTCCGCAAGAAATTTTTTATTTCTCTCTCTTGCTTATTCACGGGCTATAAAGGCAACTTTCAACACAGTCATTAAACTACACAAAATATTATTAAATTATATTCGAAAAAGGGAAAGGATATTGTGACAACCAAGTTGTGTTACTACTAAATGACTACCAATTAATCTCACAGTTAGATCGATTATGTTGATTCAACGGTTATATTTATTTTCATCTTTGTATGGTCATGATTTTCCAAATTTAATACTTTATATTTATTTCCACCTTTGTATGGTTATGATTTTCCATATTTAATACTTTCACTTTAAATATGGGAAATCATAATCATACAAAGATGGAAATAAATATAACCGTTGGTTCAACATAATCGATCTAACGGTGAGATTAATTGGTAGTCATTTGGTAGTAACACAACTTGGTTGTCACAATATATTTTCCCTTCGAAAAATAATAAACTGTTAGAGTTATGAGAGCATTTTAATTATTTTTCCTTTTTGAAAAAAACCACACAATATTTTTAATATAAGATAATTAGAAATTAAAAAAATAATCCAAAAAGTCAAAAGAAAAAGGTGTAAAAATTACCTTCCTCGTATTACCCTTGAAGAAGATGAAAGGAAAAACAGTCTTATTTACTTGCTATTCTAGTAGATAAAACATGCACATTTTCCACCGTGAAAGTCACGAGAAACATCGTTATTAATAAAGACAGTGACAAAACATTTCCAAATTCCTCATTTTGATAATGACATGATAGTTACATGTTTCACATGTATCATTTGGTTAATTTTTCTAATTCTTGATCAAACTTTTAATAATTTAGTTACATCACATTGCAATCTGCTTGTTATTAATTATTTAAATTACATTTACATGCGTCATTTCGTTCTCCTCATAAATGAGGAAAATAAATTAAACGTTTTTTTCATTATACCAGAAAAAATGGCGCAGGTATACTGAGCCAATTTTTTTTTTCTTTAAGAAAAAAGCTTATGTTTCGTTTTAAGAGAGAATATTTATATTACACAATAAATTAAGAAAAAAGCTTATGCTTCTTCTACATTTCGGTCTCTAATGAAACTCGTCAAAAGTTTTCTCCCCATTCCTTTTTTATATAAGTGCAGGTTTTAAATACATATTTTACACATACATTTGTCAATATTATAATATTATTGGGGAAAAAACAATGCTCGCATTTAAAAAAAAAAAAAAAAACTCTCAGAAAACCCTCGATTCCGCGCAAAAAACAACAAACGTAGATTATCGGCAGATAAACAAGGAATTTTATTCAATAAATTATAAAAATCCAAATGTAGAAGAAGCCCATAAATAAAAAATTAGGAAGAACGGCTTCTTGGCCGTTTCATTCAAATAAAATAAAAAATTACTGAACCATGACTATGTTCGTAATCTAAATTTTACTCCCGCTTCTATTTTACCTTCTCACATAATCATATAAATATTAATTAATATTATAAATAATAATTAAGATCATAATAACGTAATTATTATTATTTTAGAAATTAATATTAATTTTTTTTTATTCAACTAATAATTAATAGTGTAAATAATTTTTATTCTTATTTTAAAATTTTAAAATTTTCGTAAAATCAAAAATATCAAATTTATTATTAGTATTGATAATAATTTGATATTTAATTTTTATTTTTCTTTCTAATTTCGGCAGAAAAATTCAAATATCATCAATTGACCAAAATCGGTCAATCATCTAAAAATATTAGAATCACCTAAAACACAATTACAGTAATAGCAAAAAATCATAATGTTTTTAATAAATTTGTTTAAATTAAAAATATCAAATTTATTATCAATGATGATAGTTTGATGATTGATTTTTTTTTCTTTCTTTCCAATTTTATGAGAAAAATTCAAATATTTGATATCATTTAAATTGAGTGAAGTGAGTCATTGATGAAATATTATGACTCTTTTCTTATAACTCTAATTTTTTAAGATGATTAATCAATATACTCTTTTATTGTTTTTTTTTTTTGTATCCTACTCTTTTATTGTTTTCATTATTATCAAAAGATTCGAAGTATGAATAATTAATAAACACGAAAATTTGGATCAACTGAAATTCTTATATTTTATTATATATTTGAATTTTAAAAAAAATTAATAATTAAATAAATTCTATATTTTAAAATTTGTAAGATTGAAATGATATTAATTTCTAAAATAAGAATAACTATATTATTTTTGGCTTAGTTATTAAATGTCACGTGTTAGTCTTGATCTTATTACCCTTTAAATTATATCCATTTTTTTTAATAACGGGGAGTATCCTTACACAAGTCCTTCGGTCACTTTATTGTGAAAATATAGTTCTAAAGCTAGCTAACTTCTCGTTGAAACATAAGATGCATTAGATCATTGTTATAGAAGAAAAGGTGAAACAAATCTCCTTTTAAAGGAGACAGTTTTCTTCTGGCCCAACAAGAAATTCTAAAAATTTGATTTGATCACAATTTAAATCTCCGACCAACACAAACTGTTGGGCGCTAAGTTGCGAATTGAGCTATTATTCGGGGTTAATTATACCCATTTTCAAATATTGAGAAATAATTTATACCTGATAACAGTTCAATTTTATTTTTATTTTTTTAATAAAACGTCAAAAAGCCTAGGAAGAACACATAAGCTCAAGTTTGACTGGTTGCATGTAAGCCAAGTGTGGCACAGGGAGGGGATGGAGCATGCTTATCCCTCCACCACTACCACTTATAAGTGATGTAACCCTTTGTTAGCTATAGTTTGTTTTTTGTTTTTATTTTGGGTCTTGTTTGTTAGCTAAAGATTTAGATAAGCTTAAGATTATATGTCTGGCTGTATAGCGTCATAAGCTAACTAATCACAAGATGGGAGCAGAAGAAGAAAAGCAATAGGTGGGGTTGGCAGTGGCCAATTTGGACCACTAAACGCATTCAATGTGTGACAATATATATATTTTTAAATCAAACCAAATAATAATGGACAAGTTGGCTTCGTCCACTATGAACTATGGTAGGACTAGGCCACAAAGTTTTTTGGTGTGGGGGTAAGCCTCAACTCGTGGGGATTAGTTTACCTAGCACTTTGCAACTCAAAAGCTCACATCACCACCAAAGCCATTGCTTCAAGGCCAACCGGATCACTTTTTGGTGTGGTTGGTGGTGCTCCACACAAACATTTGGCACCCATTCATTCGAAATATTTTATGTCTTAACCTACGTCTCTAACTTGGTTACCCCATATTGGAGATTTTCCCTATATATTTAAAATAAAACAACATAAAATGGACTTCTTCATGACATCATATGAAAACCAAGAATAAATTAAATTAAAATAAAATGACATCGTAGCGTACGTATATTTGCAATTTCAAAAAATCAACTATAACCCCGTAAATATTGATAATATTTTTATTTTTATTTTTATTTTTAAATTTATAGAATAGAAATAATTTAAAAATGCATACGATAAAATCAGATTATTTTTCTCTTTTAAGTGAAAAACATGTTTTTTTAAACCTTTTTTTTTTACATAGAAATAAAAAAATATTTTTCTCTATTAAGTAAAAAAATTCAGATGATAAAATTAATCTCTGTGATAAATATTTTTCTCTATGATAAATAAAAATAAAACTAAAACTAGATGTCTCTCTCCAACTATAATTTTTTTTTCTTCAATTAAATATGAATATTTTATAATAAATGAGAATGGACTTTCTTATCGACTAAAAAAATGCAGGACAATGACCTTTCTCTCAGCGTTGATAAACGTCAAAATTAATGGGAAAAAAGAAACATGGAAAACTACATGTATTCGAAGCCATCAACATTTATGTGGTGCTTCTGCCAAATGCCACCATTCTCGTCCGGCTTTACCCTGTAATCGCCAACATTATATAATTTCGAGTTGGGCTCAGCCCAACCTGTTACAACAAGGAAAACTGAACCTTAGAACTAAATTACTGTACGATAGAAAAAATAAAACAATCCTATATAGTTATAAGTTTTGAGTAACTTTAGCAAAATAAATAAATAATTCTTAAGATTTTAGAATGATTATTTGATAAGTTAAAGTCGTAGGAACCATTCGTTCTTTAAGAAATCAACCATAATGTTAATTCATAATAGTTAATAACAAAAAAAATCTGACTAATATATTCCAAACTAAAATTAGAAGAAAAGCGACTCAATTTTTTTTTTTTCCCTGCATGTGTAGAATTATAAAAGAAAAGGTCAACTCTCCAATCCACATGTCCCGGTTATTCAGAGTTTTGTTTGATAAAAGAAAACAATTTATTGTTTTGATTTAATGGCCTCAAATGCAAACACCTTCACCGTGCCTTCATAAACACCATCACCACCTTTGAGTTTGTGCGTAATTTGCGCTTAATTTATGATATTATTAAGCATTCCAAACCCTTCCATCCCTTTTCTGTTTTTTTATCTTCCAACCAATCTTTTCTTTCCGTTTTTGTCTCTTTATCCATATATTTTCATCTTTCAAAGCAAATCGATTTGTTTTGTGCCCACAAATTCACTCTTCCATGCACTTTCTTTTATCAGGTACATTATCTGAACCCGAACCTTCACCGCTTTGATTCTTGTAAATTAACTCTTCTTTTTATATTTCATTTTTTATACATCTTTGAATATTTAGTTCAATTTGCGTCGAGTTCTTGAATATTGCTTGCTTCTCCTGATGATATCCGAATGAAGTGTAAGTCAATCATTGTGTCACATGTTCATTTGTTGCTTTTCTTCTCTTCTTTGCATGTCATCGAAGGAACATCGGTTTTGGTTACAAGTAATCCATACATTGATAATCATTTAACAATACTTTAGGTATATTCGATTTTTAATTTATTGAAAAAAAAATTTATCTCTTGATCTTCTTTTCATTTACAATTGATTCGTTGAAACAAATCGATCTTCCTACGAAATAGATGGATCTTTTCCTAACAAGAAGACATTAACGTGGAGGATTTGAAAATATAGGGACACGCATTATTGGCTTATATGTCCGAAAATGACAAAATTTTTATGCTTTTCTTTTGCACCAGGGAATAAGGAACCTTTCTTATTTTTTTGGGGAGCTAGGATAGGCTTTTTCTTGTTAATCCATCATACCCACGTTTGTTTTTCTGATTAAGTATCTGCAACTACATGGCGTGATGGTGGAACAATTGACGTGATAGCGTTAAACTTTGCCGCCTAAATTGTCTTAACTTTTTCTTGTGAAAGTCTAATAATTGTGTAGCTGCCACATTACAATTCTGAACTTGTTTCATAAGCAAAAATAATAATAAAAGTAACTTTTTCCAAATGTATTGATTTGTGCACCTCAGTTTGTAACACCACTTCAATTTTTACGCAACTATTGGTCACATTCCTCACGAGATTCGCAAGAGGCATAAGATATATGTTAGTTTTATACAAGAACAAATCAAGTAAAAGAAAAGTACTATGCAACAAAGATAACCCCATATCCCCTTGGACAGTTGAATCTCAAATCTTAGTCTTGTCTCTGGATATTGAGATTGATATCTTTTATATATGGGTAAATCAAAAGTTATGTTATATGATGTAACATACTTTTTTACACACACAATCTCATGTAGGTCTCGTTTCTTGATTTTTTTCTTCTTCTCTTTTCTCAATTGTATGAGTAGGAAAGTTATGTTACATAATGTAACATAACTTTTGATTTACCCTTTATCTCATTTAAATAGGATTAATATTTGTTAAATATGCAGGTTCTTTTCAATAAATTGCAGAGACACCTAAATATATAGACATATATGGCAACAAAAGCAAAAGAGAGTAGTGTTGTTGGGAAGGAGAAGAAAGGCCCAACTTCGAATTCTCCCATCACAAGCACCAAAAGGACAACCAAGCCACCATCACCTTCAAGCTCTACAGATAAGGCCACTTCAAACCCATCAGAGAAACAAGTCCCAAACTATCTGAGGCCCACAATTAGCTCAAAGCTTGAGTCCCAATCCTTCAAGCTTCCAAAGAGTACTACTGATGCTACCAATAAGGCCACTTTAAACAGAAGAAGATCTTTTGACAAGCCACCATCACCTTCAAGGTTACCAAAACAAACACAACCCTCTCCTTCAAGAACACAGAAAGCCCTTGTGTCTCCTGCCAGATCCCTATCACTTCGATCTTCCAATGTTCCAGTTAAAAGCATTAGCACTTGGAAACCCGTTTCAGAGAGGACCTCAAAAACCCCCAACAAGGAAGGGAAAACACAACCACTGAATACCAAGAGTGTGAATAAGAGAAGCCCCAGTCCTTCTCCTTCAACCACTAAGAAGGTGACTGATGATGCTTCGGCTGCAAAGACCAGTTCTGAAACTACAGAACCGATCAATGTTGAAACTGAGCCAGAAGTTAAAGAAGCTATAAATGAAGAGATTGAAGAAGTAGAAAAAGTGGAGAATCAAGAACATGATGAGGTTCAAAAAGTTGACTCTGAGCATGATGAACATGAGAATAAACAAGAGCTGGATGAGTCTGCTCAGCCTCACATTCAAGATGATAATAATGAGAAAGTCACTCCTACTGCATCAGAAGAAGAAGAAGCAAAAGAAGAGCCACAAGAAGAGAAAATCGAAGATGAGCATAAAGAGAATGAGGATATAAACCAATATGAATGCAAGATTAATGGGAGTCAATCAGAAATTAATCATTCAACAGCTGAAGAAGAAGTTGAGGTGAAAGAAAAGGAAGAAGAAGGTGGGATTGTAATAGAAGAAGATCACAAGAGTGAGGAAGTGGCAGTGGAAGAAAAGGAAGGAGTTGATGGGGTTAAGTTGACAGAAGGACAAGAAGAAAATGAACATATTGTGGAAAGTGAAGTTAAAGAAGCAAAGTCAGAGTCAACAGAGCCAAAGCAAGAAACAGCTTCTGGAGTTAAAGGGAAGAAGGAGTCTCAGGTATCCAATGATGTGATCGAAGAGACAGCGAGCAAGTTATTGGAAGAGAGGAAGAACAAGGTGAGAGCATTGGCTGGGGCATTTCAAACTGTCATTGACCATCAAAAAAAATGAAACAAGCCACTTGTATTTGATTTGAGACTCTGAGAAGAGAAGAGAAGAGATACAAAAACTGAAGAATGGAATACAAAAATTAAAACAAAAAGACACGAGTACAGAAGTGATTCTAATGCACACATCTTTCTAATCTCTTGGAAACCTGAAAGCTGGTGCTGACTTGTTTCAAACATTTATTGATTTTCTTGGTTAGTTGATTTTCATAAACATGTGTAATTACTACCAGTGTAACTTATACATATTATTTAGTCTATATATGGTCAAATTAATACCTGATATTCCTTCACAAAATACAGGTATTATAAGTTTTTCTTATATGTAAAATTATATTTTCTTTTATTATTATATCATTTTAGACTGAAATGTCAGGGGTTCAAATCCAGAAACAACCTCTTTGTAATGATATAAGGATAAGACTGCGTACAAGGATTTCTTCCACCCCACACTCGCTAATCGGATTTAAGGGGGAGTGATTTTTATTATATCATTTTTAGATATATTGAACCTGTCGATATTGTAATGAAGGAGAGGAAATTTTTTTATGGTTATTCTTTTCATTAAGTTGGCTATGTTGTGGAGGGAGATAGCATCAAATTAAGTGACCGATGGATATCAATAATTTTTTTTGATAGTAATTAGTTCTAATATTCAATTTTGTATATATATATATATGTGTGTGAGTTTGGATGATTTTACCTACATGCAGTTGTCAGTTTTATTGCTTTGCCAAATTTCGACATTGCAAATGCTCTTTTACTCTATGAAAACTACTATATTTTTAAAAAAAATTATTATATTTTACATTATATTTTTAAATTTTTTACAATAATTATATGATACTAATTATAGATCGACGTTAATCTTTCTTTAATTATAAAAACCTATTTGAAAACTCATAAAAAGTATAAGAACATTTTTATTATAGAAAATAGATTCATATAGTCTATCTAAATTTTAAAACAGGTGTACATGATTTAACAAAAATTAATAGAGCGTTAATGATTATTAGTAAATAAGGACTGACTAAATTTTTTTAAATAATAATTATATGATTTTTTTTTTTTAAACAAAAATTATATATCTTTGGTAAACCTATAGATATATAATTGCAGTTGAGGTAAACCTCAATTACTCAAATCCAACGGCTATTTGATCATTTTGTCCCTCATTAATTAATTAATAATCATTTTGCCCCTGATTCGAAACTATCTATCAATCTGCCCCTCTTTAATCGACTACTTTGCATGTTTAATCGACTAAATGGTTGTTGGAAGATTTAATCGACTAAATCTCCCTACTTAATCGATTAAAATCATACTGACTTATTTTTTTTTTGTCAAATATGGAGATTTAGTCGACTAAATAAGGAGATTTAGTCGACTAAATCTCCCAACAGCCATTTTTTGTCTGTTTTGGCCATTTAGTCGATTAAAAATGCAATGTAGTCGATTAAAGAGGGACAGATTGATAAATAGTTTCGAATCAGGGACAAAATGGTTATTAATTAATTAATAAGGGGCAAAAGGGTGAAAAAGCCCAAATCCAACACACCAATTCGGTCACATTACATATTTAAAAAAAAAAAAAAACTTGAGAAATAACTAATTGAATCCACTTTGTTATTAGTCACCTTCAAAACTATCTCTTGTGCAATACATCAGCTCCAAAGAAATTCTTCTCTCGAAACTTAGCTGACGTCGAAAGTTAGTAATAAAAACCTCTGCCCTTTTATCAATATCATCTTCCGAAGCACAACTTACCGTTCTTCTATAATGTACCATATGATCCCTATTTATTTCTTCATCCTCGAGGAAGCTTTGCAAGTGCATTTGATTATTAAACAACCTATGCCATCTTTGTTTTAAACTTTTGGAATGCACTCGCCAAGAGTGCAATAGAGACTTTAGTTTCTTCAGTCTAATGAGGGGTGGTGAAGATTTCTGCTTATCCATTTATTCTTGTAGAGAATTAAAGCCAACTTGTTTTGATAATGGATGATCATATGAGAATAAGATGATATTTACTAGCACTTATATAGGAGAGAAAAGCAAGCGGCTTCTATCAGAAGCTTTAGTGGAAGTTCACTTACAAATTATGTGGAAGGTACATAGCTTGTAGCTCAAAAAAAAAAACTGAAATAATTAAAACAAGGGAAGGTTTCAACTACTTACGTGCGGGGGTTCGAGAAATAGACTTGTTGTCGCAGTGATTGTTCCAAAACGAATGTCTTCTTTTTTTTTTTTTTAGTTATTCAACCCTAATTAGTCTTTGAGGTGAGTTGCTTCCCTCTACTCTTACAATAGAGACTAATATACTAGGGTGTTCGCGGTCTGGATTGAATCTGTTTTGGAAGTAAAAATCATCCGATTCAATTCCTTCGATTTGATCATGTAATCATCCATTCGGTTTGGATTTTTTTTTCAAATTTGATCCAATCCAATCCAATTTTTTTCGGTTTGGATTAGATCGGTTTTCGATTTTTTTAAAATCCTAAAATTTGTTTCATGATTGTTATGCAAATAACATCTTTTGTATATATTGACTTTGTAATTTTATTTTTTTAAAATACAAAAGCATCATTAAACGATAATATAGTTTTTTCTTTTTTGGGCAAGGAGATATGAAGCTCTACAGAGATTAAATTTTGTTAATGAGATGTGACTAGGCTTTTTCTTGGATTTAGTTGATGGTTAATGGATCTTTGGTTTAGAAATTTTTGGGCTATGATTGAGGAAAAAAACCCAAGTAGGTAGATGTGACCGAATCAATCCAATTAAAATTTGCGATTTTTTTTCAGTTTTCGATTTATTCGGTTATCGATTTTTCAGTTTGGTTACTGCGGTTTGAATCGGTTTGGATCGGTTGATGAACACCCTTATAATATAGGGTGTGAGGCAAGTCATGAATGAAAATATTTAAATTCCTTCCAAAAATAACATGTGAAGATCAAATTGAAACTCTTTTCTTTCTATTACTCAATTCATTTACTATCAATCAGTTTGTTAAAAAAGAATGACTTTGTCGAGGCCTCGAGGGCTAAAATCAAAGTTTTGATGTCATGTCCTGATACAGAGAAGGTAAAAAAAAAGCCTTTTTTTCGTTTGTTTATTGAATAGTGATAAAAAAAAATGGTTCATGGGCTTCATACGCGTTACTTTGGAATTTTTGGGACAGAAATGGGGCCATCGGTCCATGACTTGATGGGTAAGTTTTGAATTTGGGACACCCTTACGCGTGATTACCAAAAAAATTCTCTTTTGAGGAATTTTTTTATATCAGGTGGTGTGCAACAACTTGTATTATACAACAATTAATTTTAAAGAAGTCTAATCAATTCTTCTTCTTCTTTTATCAGGTTTACATTGTCATTGATAAATTAGAAGGATATAATTAATGGGAAAGTTTTTCTCCTTTCACGAATTTTGGAAACAAATTTTTTTACAACAATACTCATTCTTTCTTGTAGCACAAGTTTTTTGTAGCACATTTTTTTCCCTCAAATTCCAAAATGATATTATTTTGAAGTTACAGAAGATATTTTTATCTTTTATAATATTAGAAATCCTAAACCTATAATTAATTTATAATAAAAATATACTAGAAAAAATGTTAATTACTATGATGTGATCAAAAAATAAATAATCGTTAGGAGAGGTAAAAGTTTTTACTCGGTGCTACCTAACTATTTAGTGTATGCGATAGATGTTTTTTTTTTTTTTTTTTTTCTAAACTCAATTTTATACGTGAAGAGATAAGAATGTTATAGATGAACAAGCATATAAGAAAAGATAAAATTGTAGATAAATGTAGTATAGAAATAATAGGAGTAGTAACTCTTATAAAAACAAATGGTTAAATCCCACCTAAAATGATTCAGCTTTATGGAGAGAAGATTAGTAAAGTTCATGAAATGAAAGATAACTCAATTACTAAAATTATAAAAGTAAAAGAAGAATAAAGAAATTTTGAAGATAAATTATTTAAATTTTAATAGCCTTTTTAAAACTCAGATTTTAACGAAACATGATAACAAAGTCATCGGGGGGGGGGGGGGGGGGCAAAATTTTGATGTTGCTGTTTAAACGGGGAGATGGACCATTTTGTGACACCTGACAAAAAAAATTTACCAGATTGACACGTCAACAGTAAATTTTGTCAAAATGTCACGCGGCATAATTCGTTACACTGTGTAGCGAAATATGTCATGTCAGGCTGCATAGTCAGCAAAAATAACACGTGTCAAGCAAGTAGAAATTTGCTACACTGTGTAGCGAATTATGCTTGAATTTTGTCTGCTTGACATATGTTATTTTTGTTGACTGTGCAGCCTGTCATGGTATATTTCGCCACAAAGTGTAGTGAATTATATGCAAACATATTTCGTTACACAGTGTAGCGAAATATGCCGCGTGATATTTTGACAAAATTTACTGTTAATATGACAGTTTGATAAAAAAATTTATCAGGCGTGACAAAATAGACACCGTTCCGTTTATATGTGTATCGAAATTCTTTGTTGTTTTATAACAACAAAGAACTCGGTTCAAACCCAGCAGAAAAGGTGAGGAGAAACAAATATAAAAGCAATATGTTAATACAATAAGCTGTGTGGTGCGGTCGAAGAGTTGTGCAAGAAGCCTCTCCTCTCCTGACCTGGCTCCTAAATTTGCGAAGAGGCAAACTCCGGAGGATAGATAGATCTGACACGAATCTGATCCAAGCAAGCCTTAATTGATTAAAGTCTTATGGGCCATATTTCATTTATGCTCGTGGCCTTGTTTGTATGACGCTTGACTTAAGATTATATTGTCTCAAGTGAGGAAATATTTTTTATGGTAAAGGACCATCTAATAATTTGGTGTTCTCTATTATAACATCAATTTTTTATTTTTCTTTTTATCTTTGTTATTGTTACTTTTTTTCAATTTTACTTTCTCATTTACACTAAAGGACTACCTAAAAAATGGTAGTCCTGAAGTATAATAAATACTCTCATCAAGTGAGTCCATAAGTATACTTAGTTCGTTTAGATGAGTTTTTTCTCTTCAAAATTTCAAAAAATGTCTACTTGAATAGCCTGCTTAAAAAAAGTCAAAAATTTATTTTTTTGAAAGCTGAAATTTTAACTTAAAAAAAAAAAAAGAAGTTAAAAGTCAAATATTTTTTACAAAATCCAAATACTTTTTAAAAAAAGGTTCTAATAAGAATTATGTTGTAGGAAAAGTGATTGTGTAATGTTATAGAGATTCGTTTTGCGTGCTATAATTTTTTTTTTTTCTTCAAAAACTGTGGGACCCACAAAATATTATGTGTGTAAAAAAATTTGTTGTGTTATGTTAAATAACAAATACAAATCCCTTTAAAAATTATCTAAATAGCATTATCTTGTGTAAAAATACTTCTAAGTAAGGTATAAAAAGCATTTTCTTAAGCCCATTAATCAACGAGCGATTCTTTTATTATTTTAATTGCTTTAACATTTTACAGTTGAGTCACACAATTCAATGTTGGTTATTATGAATCATATGCGTTGACGTATTTCGTTTCACATTCTACTTCCTCTCTCTGCGTTCATATTCCATAAGTGAAAAGCAAAATGAGTTCACTTTAGTTCACACTTGGATAGTTTCTTATTCACTCCAAAGTTTCTCTAAAATGATAATTCACAATTTGCTTTATGAGTCATGACAAGGATGGCCGCAGCCGCAGCCGCAGCCGGCAGCCCCCTAAACACTTTTTTTAGTACATACATGCGAAAGCCTCGGAAGATCTTTATCATGATCCGTTGTTGCTGACTTCACCACGCGAATGTCAAAATATTCGGTTCGGTGTAACCTTTTTGGTTTCACTTGTGCATTACACATAAATTTTTTTAACTGTTTTAACCTTTTGAGATAATTAATCTATAATAATTTTTTAGTTATATAAATTATACCTTAAAATAATGATCCCAGACACCTAAAAATACAAAATTTTGAGGGATGCATTAGGTTTATGGGATAACAACATGATTGTGCCATGTGTTATTTATAGTGGGAAATTTTTAGGTACATTAAGCTGATAAATTGATATTATGTCGCGTCATTTAACACTTTTTGTTTAAAAAAATATTTATAGACAATAAAATATATTATTCAATACCTGTTGATCCTGACTAACAACAATAATATAATTGTATCCTCCTGGTCGTCAACTTATACAATCGATTTGGTTCTTTGGCAGGTACATAATAGTCATTACTTTTTAAAAAATAAATAGCCACACACATACATTTAGTAGTAATTCTTTGTAAACTGCAACTAACCGAGCTCTTTGTCCTTCTTATTTTAACAATTTATAAAGGGAAAAGTGTGTATCATTTTAAAGGATGTAAATTTATGTCATTTTAAGAGAGAGGAAGAGATAGATAAAGGAAGAGAAAAAGTTGACAAAAAAAAATAAAAGTGTGAATCTCACCTTTTTGTGAGAGTGAAAAAATATAAATTATATCATTGAAAAGGATAAACATTTTTTTAGTTTATAAATGGTGATGCAAATGGAAATAGAGGATAGGAACTAAGGGGGTGTTTGGTTCAAGTTTTTAGAGAGGATTACCGGTAATCCTTCTTTGGTAAATGTAATTACCACGTTTGGTAGAAGGAATAAATTACGATTCCCGGATATCCAAGGATTACCGGTAATTTGATTTATAAAGAAAAGTCACTATTCAGATTACCAAAAATAATATGGTAATTCGGAATACCAATCAGAATACCAAGTAAAGGGAAAGCACAACAATAAATTTTGAGACAAAAATACCCCAATACACATAAAAATCTAGACTCAATCTATCAATTACAAAAGTAAAAATAGTTTGGGGTTATTTTTGTAAAATAACCTCATTTTCCAAGTCAAATTTCGTTCTAAACCAAATATGGAATCAGTAATTTTTACCAATATTCCCGGTAATATTTTGGCGAACCAAACACATCTTTCGTAAGATTCCAAGAAAACTCAATTTCTACTGAATTCCCATTAATCATGATTTCCGGTCATCAAAAAATTTCTCCTGTACCAAACACACCCTAAAGTTAATAATTACCGACCACGCTTCCTGTTTCAAGTTGCTTTATTAAGTTCTTTATCATTATGGATTCCTTTAGTGGGAATATATCTAAGCGACACATCCCGAAATGACTACTTACCACAATTGCATATGGAGTGGCAAATAAAGCCTTTGACCTACGCAGACCAAACCCGTCTCTTAAATAGGCGATGAGGAAGATAATCAACTGTTCTGTTCACTACTTGCTTACTGCACTCTTGTGTATTAGTCTCCTTTTGGGATGAAAATTTGGTGGAGATTAGTTATCCAAAAAAAAAAAAAAAAAATTGGTGGAGATTATACATTAATAGACCGAGATATGATGAAGCCCATAACACATTGTAAGTAGCAGGATAATAGATAATAAAAGTCATTTAATTTTTGTATTATTTTTTACAAAGCATCCACTATCTGATCACTAAATAATCCGGATTCGGCGAGGTAAGATATCATTGAAACTTTTGAAAATACATAATTACAGACACATAATTATACAATTATAAATTTCTATGTACATAATGTCTATAATTACTCTTATATTATTTGTGATATGCCTATATTTTAATTCTATTATTCTAGTATGAAAGGCTTACAATTAGGCATTTGAGTATTTGTTCCGTCTGTGATGCACGACAGATAGATGTGGTGGTTGAGTGTTGTTTGGAAGCTCCTCCTCCATACGCTCTTATGAAAATGAGATGATAGTGCAATTTGATGCTTTGATTAAGAAATTAAGGTAGTTAAAAGGAAGCTTGCCTGGAAAGTTTTGTTGTAACATGAAATCGTACACAATGAGAGCATGCTTAATGGAACGTGATCCTCCACAGACAACAATGTTGTTTGTGACAGACAGTGTACAAAATAGGTAGGGGGTGTTGTGGACATTTTACATATTGGTTAATGAGCCAAAATAGTGGTCACTAAAACAGTACTATTTTCTTTTATAAAAGTTAAATGGGAGAATTGTTTTCTGAAAATGAAAGATATTATTGAAGGCAAGCTTGCGACGAGTTTATCCAGGTGTCAAATTAGAATAAGCTTTAAAATAAAAATAAAAGCATTTAATTGGGAGTGCAAGGGCTATTATGTTGATAGTAAAGTTGGTGGGAGTGGCGAGTGGCGATCCATAGTTGTGATGTTCGCATCAGTCGCTGTAATGATAAACAAGCCATGCCGCAGACCACATAACAAAAGGCACACACACATATCTTTTTTTTCCCTAGTCAATTGTAGCTGTGAAAGAAAAGAAAATTATGGAGTAGATTATGTTTGATCAAAACCGCAGACGTGGCCACAACCACAAACTAGTCATTTCCAAAAGTAGACCCACTTGTGTTTCTTCCCCCCAACTAATCATAATAAATTAGCCATAGGAATCAAAAAAAGTCCATATAGGCGGGGGGGCTGGTTCACCACACGACAATGATTAAACACTTTAGTGTGTTGGCGATCAGAGCAAATCCCTTTGTGTGTGTCTTCCATCGTTCGTTCGTTCATTCATTCATTCATCGGAGTAACAGGTTTCTGCTCTGTCGCTTTGCCTCAATTACGTCACTCCCATTTCCAACTTTTTCTTTCTTTTTTCTCCCCTCTATTTGTTTTCTTTCATTCCAAGTCTTTATTGATACGGATTTGCCGGAAATATTTATACCTCTACCTTCTCCTCGTATCCCGGCTTTTTCCTACTAAACTAATCACTCCAACTTTTTCCTACTAAAGCCCTTTCCTTTCACTTTTTCATTATTGCAATTCCGTGTCCTTACTCACGACAAGGGTCTCTTTCAATTCTCTCTCACTTCTCTTCCTTTATATTCAACACACCATATCATACTTTTCCCAATTTCTGAAAAAAAAAAAAAAAAACATGGTACCTGAGAAGAAGAAGAATAATGAGTGGGAGGCACTGATTCCGGGGTTACCAGACGAAATTGCAGAGCTTTGTTTACTTCATGTTCCGTATCCATATCAGGGTTCGATGCGCTCTGTTTCCTCTTCGTGGAACAGAGCCATAACACACCCTTCCTTTCTACTTTCCAAGAAAACCCTCTCTCGACCTTATCTCTTCGTCTTCGCATTTAATAGACAAACCGCACGGATTCAATGGCAGGCTCTCGACCCTTCATCGAACCGTTGGTTCCTGCTGCCACCCATGCCGCTGCCGGACGCGGTTTACCCCACCGCGTTCGCCATCGCCTCGCTGCCGCGTCAGGGGAAGCTCTTCGTCATCGGTGGCATGCGCTCCGACACCGAGTCCCCAATGCGGACGACCCTCGTTTACCAAACCACAACAAACCAATGGTCGCCGGCATCCCCCATGCCGGCGGGGAGATCTTTCTTCGCGGCGGAGGCAGTGAACGGAAGGATCGTGACCGTCGGGGGGAGCGGAACTGAAATCTACGATCCGGATGAAGACACGTGGACGACGGGTGCGGGGCTGGGGACTGAGCTGGAAAAGTACGAGGCGGTTACGGTTGGGGGAAGGGTTTACGTAACGGAAGGGTGGTGGTGGCCGTTTATGTTTCGGCCGAGGGGTTGGGCGTACGAGGCGGAGAAGGACACGTGGCGAGAGATGGGGGAGGGGATGAGGGATGGATGGACGGGTGTTAGCGTGGCGGTTGCGGGGAGGGTTTTCGTGATAGCGGAATACGGGGACTGGCCGGTGAAGATGTACGATGAGGAATGCGACACGTGGCGGTGTGTGGGAGGTGATAGATTTCCGAGGGAAGTGATGCAGAGGCCGTTTGCTGCGAAGGGGTTGGATGGAAGCATTTACGTGGTGTCGTTGGGTTTGAATGTGGCCATTGGGAGTGTCGTCGTTTACGATGGCAGTGAGGGAGTTGGAGTGAAGCTTACGTGGCAGGTGGTGGAGGCACCACAAGGTTTCCGTGATTTCTCACCTTGTAATTGCCAGGTGCTCTATGCTTGAAGCCTTGAACACCTATTGGCCAGGGTGGACATGTTTTTCTTCCTTTCTTATTCTCTCTCTTTGTTTGTTTGTTTTATTAGGCGGGATTGGGAACTTTTTATTTTATTTTAATGTTGAATCTGATTCGGCATGCTGGGGATGGAAATAGAAACACACCTTGCCTATGATTGAAAACGATATTCGCAGGCCTAATGGCCAATACATATTCTTGCTTGCTGGATTGCAAATTATAGCTTGCAGCTTCATCATGGAATGCATGTTCTCTACAGTCCAACTATAATTATTTAAATCAAGTATTAAACAAACAAAGAGGAAGAGAAAGATGAATAGTGGGATTTGATTTTACTTTCTTTTTTTTAAGGTTAGTAATTAACCTCTCTATTTGAATTTGAAGTGTACTTTTCCATCATCGTTTGGTCCAAACTTTTTTTAATATAACACCTTCTCTAAATACTAATCCTATCTATAATTTTCTTGCATAAAAGCGCATCATAGCATAAATTGCATTTTTTAATTTTTCATGATGTCTTCTTCAGTTATATTAGCAACAAATAAAAAAAATATGAAGGAAAAAAAATTCTTGGCAATCTGTTTCTTTAAAACCCTTCATTTACAATAATAAAAAAGGAAGGTCAAGAGTAAATTTCGAATTAAAAAATGGACGTTGTTGCACATAAGATAGAAAAATTCTCCGTATCGATCCCCTGTAACTTAAAATAGAAAGAAAAAAAAAATAAGGAATCAGAAAGACTGGGAGAGAAAAAAAAAAACATCGGCCAGAGGATTGATGTGCTTCGCGGCGTGATCAGCCCACTGCCAAAGTGCAAAGTAGAATTTCTCTATTAATTGTACTTTTTAGAGAGCTTTCTTCTTAATGAACAAAGTATAATGAGATTTATGGATCATTTTGTATAATGATATTTATTATCTCTCGTATAATAAATATGTGAGATAAATTTATCTTCTACAATATAAGAAATATTAATCTCTTATCTATAAGGGAAAAATATATTTTATTCTAAATGGCACAACTTTGTTTTAATGGGTTTTTACTTTCTCTCTCATTCACAACCAGGAGAAGAGAAAAAAAAAAAAAACAGTATTATGCAAAGAGAAAGAATATAAAAGCCCATCAAAATAAAGTTATTTCACCTGAAATGACACAAAATTATATAATTTAAACAAACATATACTCACATGTTGTTGGAGAGTATATTTTTTCCTACACATATATTGATTTCCGTATTGCTTTTTTTTTTTTCATAATTAAGTGAGTCTTACTCATGGTTGTGTTTATAACATGAGATTAATAAAATCCATAATTTAAAATAATAAATATTTTTCCCTTTTAAAATAATCCAAAAAATCGACATTTGAACATTTTTTAATTAAGATGATGCAAGAGAAAAATGGAAAAAAATACTTGCAATAATATTTTTTTTTAAAAAAAAACATAAATTTACATATCTTAGTCCATATAATAAATTTGCGGTTAAAATAGCTGGATTTAGTGTCGAATTTAGCATCACATTGAAATTAATTTCTAACTAGTAGCAATAAGTTGACTGGTCAAACGAACGTCACCCTTTTATTTTCACCATAAAAAATAAGGATGTTATATCTTGTACGACTTTTTTTTTAATTTTTTATTAATTTATATTAAGGGAAAAATATTTGTCATTTTAAGAGAGAGATAGTCACAAAATAATTTTTTTATTTAAAATTTAAATTAAAAAAATCTCTCATTTTCTCTCTTCTATGATTTTCATTTTTTGTAGAGTAAATACTCTTTTTGGTCCTCAGAAAATTTAACGAGACCCGTTTTAATCCCTAGCAAATAAAAAGGCCCATCGTGGTTTCTAAAAAATTTAAATTGGACCAATTTTAGTCCTTTTGAGGACTAATATGACTCTTTTTTGAATTTGTGAGAGACCACGATTTCAACTAAATGGATCCTTTTGAATTTTTGAGGGACTACGATGGGCTTTTATTTGCTAGGGACTAAAACGGGCCTTGTGAAATTTTCTGAGGACCAAAAAAGGTATTTACTCTATTTTGTATCTATCTCTCTCCTAAAATGACAAACAACAAACTCATATATTCACAAGGGAAATCATTTTCTCAGGCGATAGGAGATAGCTTTCTTATGTTGTGAGACATCGAAATCTGTGTAATCTTTTTTTATTTTTTTGTTTTTTTAACAAGTGGTGAGTTTCGTCACTTGTTGTGTCTATGACGTCATATGACATGAGAAAAAGGAGAAACCCTATTAATAATGATGTAAAAGTTACTTTGGAGTAAGCATGATGAGAATGAGGCGGTGAAGGAAATGAATGATGAGAAAAGTAGAGTGGAATTTTCCGCAAACACGCTTTGCTATTCTATTATCTTCCAGACCCTTTGTGCTTAGATTTCTTCCTCCCTTCTTTCTTTTATTCACCGCGTCTCATTAAATCTCTTCAATTTCTCCTTCTGTAATTCTGTTTCCTAATTCTACTCATATAAATATCTAATAAGAGTTGCTTCCAACCTCCGACTAAGACCCTTCACGGCCCAGCAAAACATAACCAGCTATTAATTCCTAGTTTCCTACCTATATAGACACAAGGACAAAGAAGGTAGAACAAGAATATGTGTGTAGTGTTGGTGTGCGGCGAGGATGAAAGGGTGGTGTCAAGGCAGCCAGCACCAGGGGTGTGTCCTTACTGCGGAGGGATGATTCAGGCTTTGGACGTAGAGAGCCGGTGGCAGTTCTGTTTCCTGCCCTTGTACTTTAAGACCAAGCGCAGGTACCACTGCACCATGTGCACCAGACAACTCGTTGTGCAATAGTAGTTCTAGTGATCATCGTCACTTCACACCCACCTCCCTTGCACCATGGAGGATCCGATAAGTACAAGGCGCAGGGGAAAAGTTTTCTCTATTTTTTTTTACTGGTTTTCATTTACTATTTTAGATGTACAGGGATTTCAAAGTAGATGATATGATTTTTAGATCTTAAAATAACATCTCTTCATTTGAATAATTCATATTTAAATAGTTATGCGAATTCAATGGCTTTTACCAGTGGAATTATTAAGATAACCAGCTTATTTGCTTGATATTACTTATAGTTTAAAAAGTGCCATTTTAACCCATGTGATTTCCTCCTTCGACCCATAATCATCGGTAGTTTCAAGACCAAGTCAAAAGTACAGATTGCAGAAACCAAACATACTGAAGGTGAGACACGAACTTTGGTAAAGGAGAAATTTTTTTTATCCGGAAATTTCGATTTTCAAAAATATTTACATTCAATTTATGATAATTTTCAGAAATTAAAAATTTAGAAAAATTCAATTTCCTGAAAATTCCGAAAAATACCAGTACCAAACACTCCCAATTAATTTGGAAAACGTCGGCGGCTCTAAAATTCATGTTAACTGGGCTCCTTTTTCTTTACAGAAATCAAATACCCAAATGCAAACAAGTAACAACATTTGGCTTCCCCAAATACATTACAGCTTATGCCACAAGACAGAATAGAAGTTCAGATTTCTTCCATCAGTATTGCGGAAACACACAATCTCAAGAGCTCAAAGAGAATTAAATAAACGGACACTTCCTGCTAAATTGCCAATAATTTTATAAAGGAGGTCCATTCAAATATCAAGATTCAAGACCACCTTACCGAATGAAAGAGTCTTAAATGCCCCCGCCTTCCCAAATAAGGATTAAAGGGGCGGCCGGGGATCAGGGCTAATAGTCAAAAGAAATCAGGTTTAGTTTGTTAATGTACTTACCAGTCACTTCCTCCATTTGAAGATTTTGTGCATTTTAGGAGAGAAGGAAGACAAATAATAAAATCCAGAATTACCAGCTATAGTCCAGTGCATTTTCTACCAAAGAAGAGCAAAGCTGGGAGAAAAAAAGTAATATCAAACATGACATCACTTACAGAGTTTCAACTTTTTAAAATACGAAGATACAACTGATTTAGGGTAAGGTTTTGTGGCAAGGCACGTAGGTATGTTTTCAGGTTGTTCAATCCACAGTTTGTGAATGATCCCACCAGATGTAAGCTTCTCAGACAAGTTTTTTATCTGAGATTCTCCCTTTACTTCAAGTGTAACCTACAGTTGAAGTCGGTAGCAAGTTAATTCATAAACCAAATGCAATGCTGCAGCAAATACGAATTAGATCTGTATAGCCTAGAACTAGAAACAATAGACAGAGACTACTACGTAGACAAGTGAATAAATTAAAACTACAAAGCTGATGTCAAATGGCACAATCCATTGCAACAACAAAATTGCGAAGCTGAAACATTAAGTGCCTACTGAACGTACGAATTGTTGAAGAAAAAAGTATGGAATCGTACAAAAGATTTGCCAATAACCATACTTGAGCAATGATGCCTTCATATTTGTGCTTTCAACTTTAATATATCATCAGCACACCTCTTAATCAATTCTGTATTCGTCCATGACATGTTCAAAATATCTCAATTCTTAAAATGGATGACAAGTATATCGCACATTCAAAGGTTGATGTTTTGGGCAGAGGCCCAAAGTAGTCTCACAATAGCTTGTGCATTACAATTATAACAGGGATGAGCATGTTACGTAAAAATACAATGGAAACACTAAATTAGATGTTCCAAAAGCAATGATTTGGCAAACCTCAAGCACAGACTACTAAAACTACGATGTGAACAAATTTTCATCCATCATGAAGGACAATGCAACAATATACATGTAGTCATATACATAATACATACACAGAATTTGCAGTTAATTCATAGGGTTTCTTCTAATGTTATCAAACTAACCATGACTAGTTAGACATATCACAGCTTACTAATCTGCAAAAAGAAAAAAGATACTATCAAAAAGCAAAAGGTTTTGGTATTGCCCGGATAAAAACAAAAAGAGAAAAGCAAGAAATAGTTTGATTTCACATGAATCATATGATCATATTCATATCCTTCTCAGCACCCGTTTCAAATTCTAATTTAGAAAGAAAGACAGAGAATGCAGTTAATTAGTAAATCGAATGAGAAACAGGCACTTCTAGTTTGCACCATATGTGCAAAGATGAATCTTCATCTATCTTGTATATTAAAAACCTCTAGTTCAGTCAAACATGCAATAGGCTAATAGTAATCCAGAACATTTGTGCTTGATCAAAACCAGACTACAAATCACCAAGAGCATAATGATCAATCCATTTTGTCTTCCACTGGCAAGGATTGTGACATAAAAAATAACATAGAAAGGGGCTGAAACTAAACTGGAGACAACCATTTCCATGGTTCCTAGAAAACCTTAGTATCAGGAAATTATCCATTTCCAACAATCTAACTTGATGCCTATGCGCCACTTCCCATATATAAGTTCAAGAAAGGTTCCTTCCAATGCCTGAAATTCCATTGATATCAAGATCTTGTTGATGCCAACGTCAACCATCTAGCTTTATTAAAAGGTAATGAGAACAGATGAAATCCCCGTCACAAAATCAAGATACTACATTTTTCTTTCGCTCCTCCATTTAGTTTCAATTAATCATCCATTACAATGGATTAAGATTTTATGTACTAAAACTGTAAGGTAGGTACATATTTGGCAGCAGAGGCAAACATCAAATAACACAACTTGTCTTCTAATTCAAAAAGTTAACTATAAGAACCTAAAATTAAACAGATTCCCAAGCTAGAGAGCTCACAGTGAAAACAATTTGACACAGAATATGAACATTACGATCTAGAAAGAAATTTCTGTGACCAGAATTTCAAATTTCAGTCATCAATCGAAAAAAAAAAATAAAGACAAAGAAAAACCTTACTTTGTGCATAGAATCTATGTTATCGGGGCTGCAATAATCGACGGTGAAAGGATCGTCTTTGTTGGACCAAACGGCCGAAACAGAAGCGTGGCAACCTTGAGTAACCACGCTACCTAGAGGCCAAGTGTCGATCAGGTCTCGCCGGAGCACCACGTACTGGACCACAACATCGGCGTTTTCCGGCTGCGACGGTGCATCATTTGGAGTGGCAATAGTGTTGGAATCGGCGGCGGCGGCGGGTTGACTCATTGAGTTAGAGCTGAGTCCACTCGCCCGGTTCGAGACAGAAGCAGCGTTTAAATGTGTAAGTGTAACCCTAATCCTGCTGATGTTTGAGAAAGCGAGGTACGAACCGGAGGGATTGAAGAGACGAAACGATGGAATAGTGCAGGCCATTGATAAACTCACACGTACTGTAGTAGCATCAAACTATGTGCTACTACATTTTACACGATAATAATCGTTTAATTATTTTTAACTTTTTTATTCTTTTTTACGCGTATTTCATGGGTTATTTTAGAAAAAAATAACAATATTATTTTATTTATCTATGTGAAATTAAATTATGAAATAGGTTACAGTTACAACTTTTTTTTACTACCTCTTACAACCATATATCATAACTGTTGATTTCCGTCAATCAACGGTTATGATTTTTGCAAATTAAACTTATTAAATTATTATTAATTCATAATAAATGACAACCGTTGATTGACAGAAATTAACGGTTATGATATATGATTGTAAGAGGTTGTAAAAAAAAAGTTGTAAGTATAACCGTCCTCGTTATTTATATCTCCAAATTTATTTTTTAATATATGCAATGTAACGGCAAAAAATCCGTACTAACGTTAATTTTGAAATGTATCTCCATCGTAAAACACTTTTCAAAAGAATGATTATAGTAGAGCAGTCAAACACGTAGGTTTGACTGACGAGATAAGTCCCGCCAGTGAGAAATACGAGATCAGAAGCCACGTAGGAAGCCCAACCAATCGCGTCAGTCCATGTCACGTGTTTTCCACGTATCCCGCCACCTGCTGTGACATGTACCAGTCCCGCCATGTCAGTTGGCGAGACTAAGCCACGTGTGCGACACATCCGCAGTTCTTGTGACGCGTTCCAGCCTCCCCTCGCCACACTCGTGGGGTAGCGTCCGGTTGTCAATCTCGCCACTGACACTTACGGTTGATACCTGTCTGGTTATATATAGGTCTTCCGGTGTTTGCTAGTATTGAAACTTTGGAATTTGGTTTATGTTTGCTATTTTTGTATATGATTTTGACGGACGGTTTCTTTACTTGTAGTAATTTGTTTGTATCACTTGCTGTGTGTAATTAATTTCGAAAAGGTTTTGTGTCACTTGCTGTGTGTGTAATTTCCAAAAGGTTTTGTGTCACTTGCTGTAATGCGGATTCAAATGTTGTTTATTTACTTTTTTTAATCTCCACTTGCATCTGATCTTTTTGTGTTATTTGCATACACCCCTGTATTATTACAATGGAACAATATCGGTCTTTTGTATATTATAATGGTTCTAAAATTAACGGTGTAGGCGGGTTGAGATTCGAAGGGGAAAAAAGAGCAATGTATATTGTGCGAGGCTTGTCCATTGAAGATCTACTTCAGAAGATTCGTCAGAAGTTGAAGTTGCAACAAAATCAGGTAATTTCTTCAATAACGGGTAGAGTCCCAAGTGGAAATCGCAAATATGCAGGTTTTGATCTAACTGATGATGAGGACATTGATATTTTTCTTGGAACATTTGTCCAAAACTCTACTACTTCTCAATTTGTTGAGTTATACGTGGATATTGAGACATCAGACGAAATGTCAACACCGACACGTGGGTTAGACCTTAACAGTCAGACACAAATGCCGTCATCATCGGTACCCCAACCCACACAATCAACTATTGCGCATGGAGATGAAAGCGACTATATGGTAGATGTTGAACCTGACAATGAAGATGAGGAGGAAGATGAAGACACTCTATTGGCAAATGACCATGATCAGAATGATAGTGATGGAGGAGATGATGAACATCATGATAATCCCATAACACAGGAGACAGTTATCCCTGCGTCCAATAATGCGGTTATTCCACCAACATCAGGTTAGCCATTGAACGTGTTGAATGATTAAATTATTTTTAATCGCTTTAATATTTGCCATATCGTATTTTTTTATTTTTTTTGTAGATGTGACACCATTTTGGGATGACATCCCACACTATGAGGCTGTTAATTTGGATTATCCGAACGAAGACATACTGGATGTTGAAGGCTTAGGTCGTGGTCAGTGGACAAGAGGAGACGAAATGTATGTGAAACAAGAGTTCCGGTTGAAGAGCGATGTGCAAGCCGCTATAAAACATTACTACATGAATGAGCATCAAGAAGCTGTAGTGGTTGAGAGTACTACCACGAAGTTGTCTATGAAATGTCGTAAGCATGAAGAAGGCTGCAATTGGCGAGTAAGGGCAATTAAACCGAAGAATAGCAACAGCTGGGTAGTCACTAAATGGGGTGGAAAACATTCTTGTGTCAGCACAACCCTTTCGCAAGATAACAAACAACTTGATTCACAATTTATATCTGAGGCCATTCTAGGTACTATATACATTGTTGAAGTTTTCGTACTGCGACAATTTATGTGTTTATCATGTGAAGGTGGATATTATTACTAATTACAAATATGCTCTATATCTGTATGCAGACATGGTGAAGGCTTCGCCGTCGGTGGCCGTTATCTTGATACAAGAACGAGTTACTGCCCTTTTTGGATATAATGTTTCTTATAGGAAGGCGTGGAAGGGAAAGCAGAAAGCAATTGCTAAGATTTACGGTGATTGGGACGAGTCATACGCGTTCTTGCCAAGATGGTTCGCGCACATGTTGAATTTTTCTCCGGGGTCTGTTTACCATATTCAACATGGATCGTGTGTCATGAATGGACAAGTTATTACTGGGTCTAGGGTTTTTCAACGTGTTTTCTGGACTTTCGGTCAATGTCGGGAGGCGTTTAAATGGTGTAAACCAGTCATACAGGTCGATGGTACGCATTTGTACGGTAAATACAAAGGGACATTATTGATCGCCACAGCGCAAGATGGCAACAATGAGGTATTGCCAATCGCATTTGCGGTCGTTGAAAGTGAAACTAAAGATGCATGGGAATATTTTTTGGCATCCATCCGAATGCATGTAACCAGTAAGACTGGAATAAGCCTTATTTCTGATCGACACAAAAGCATTTTATCAGCAGTGGCCAATCCAGACATTGGATGGCAACCTCCTAATGCATACCATGTGTTTTGCCTTCGTCATGTGGGGAGCAATTTTAATACACGATTCAAGGATCAATACATGAAGGGTTTTCTAAAGAAGCTAGGTTATATATGCAAACTAGTTACATGAAACTGTGTAAATCCTTTGTCGATTGGGTCCTTTATTATATAAATATGTGTTTTTTTTCGTAGGATATGTTGCAAATAAAGACTACTTTGATGCCGCGTATGCCGAGTTCTGCAGCATTAGTCCAGAAGTCGCTGCGTGGATTGAGGCTGTTCCAAAAGAGAAATGGACTCGGAGTTACGACGAGGGTGGACGAAGATATGGTCACATGACAACTAACTTGTCTGAATCAGTCAACAGGGTTTTCAAGGGAGCGAGGAACATGCCAATAACTTCTTTGGTAAAATGCACATATAGTCGACTTGCTCGTTACTTTTTTAAAAGAGGGTGTAAAGCACAGAAAGATGTCGAGATTGGAAAGCATTTCTCAAATGTTATTTCAGAAGCGATGACAAAGAACAATGAGAGGGCAACATCAATGCGTGTTCGGGAGTATAATGTGGCGCGCACCTCATTTGAAGTCGATGACCAAGGGTCTACTTTTTCGGTTAACCTCACTGATCGGAAATGCCAATGTGGTAAGTTTCAAGCATTCAAAATCC